TTTTTTTTTTTTTATTCCTGATCCACTCATTGGGTCACGGATAAACATAGTCTTAAATCGGATGCAGATGTGTTTGACATATAGCTTTCTATGGGCTTTTCGTGTTGATTTATTGGTTATATGCGCCATGTTATAAACCTAAAATAAAACCATACAATGTATTTGTCGAAATTATCATATAAACATGTTATTAACCTAAAAAAATAACCGGTGTAATGGAATATCGGGATTCTCATATAAACTGTGTAATTTTTTATACAATTATGAAATTTTAGATGATATTGTATGACTATTGAAATAAATAAATGTTGTATAATTTCTTTAACAAGACACACAAAAGTAAAGTATTCTACATCACAAATATAAACTTGTTATACGACGATTTATCTACATAAACGTAACCAATTTTTGTGAACCATTTATAACATTGTTTTAACTCCACAATAGAATATCTTTTTTAATTTGTTATTCAATTGTTCCTACAATATATTTTTATCTTGAAATGAATGATCGACAACAAAATCTATAGTAATATAAAGAGGTTGTTGGCAAAATAAGAAAATAGTATGCTTGACTTTAAAAAATAAGGCTTTGACTTACTCTTTTAAGTAACAATTACTACTTTAAGTAATTATCTTGGAGGTTCCATAAATTATTCAGATTATTAATTATTAAATAATTAATTAATGTAGATAATTAATAATTAACACATAAATATGGAATTTGTTGAACATTCTCCAACAATTTGTTACCTAATTATTGGATTTTGTTACCTAATTACCATGATTTCTCTCATATTTAAAATGATTCTGAATTTGTTACCTAATGACGCTGATCTATCTCATATTTATCTCTTAATAAAAAAAATTAATAAGTTCAGAAAACTGCTAGCAATAAGAATTAATAACAATTTGTTGAAAACTAGCAATAAAGTCATGATAACTATTCAAATATCCATACCACGAAGATAACTATTCAAATAACTATTCAACACTAATCAAATAACTATTCAAATAATTTATTTAGTTTAAAATACCTTTTATTGTTACAAAACAATATCTACAAACCTTTGAACAAATCAACGTATAGTTTTGAACTCAATTACTAATTTAAAATATATATCAATAGTTTAATGATTCTTAGAATCCATAATATTCGAAATTCTAATGGTTATTACATGTACATATCTATAAAATATATAACTAATTGTATTATAATCAAACGACTCAATGGAATGTTTGTTACTAGGAATATATAACTAATCGGATTAATTCCACATTTTACAAAATATTAAGTTGTTAAAAGTATAAATGTACAAACCAAGTAACTAATCAAACAACATATACAATATACTTGGCTTAAAATCAAATTGCATGTTATAGGCACAACTAAATTGTTAAAATAGTATTACATTAAAGCTTTTATAATTTCCTTTGGGACAATAATTGTTAATACGCTATATATTTTGTGTGGATATATTATATGGGTGTTCCAAATAAACATTTTAATTCAGTTTCTAATTTAAATCTTATACCAATATTTTAATGATTCTTACAATCCATACTATCCAAAATTCTAATGGTTGTTACAAGTACATATCTATTAATATATAACTAATCAGAATATAATCAAACAAAAATGTAATGGTTGTTACTACGAATATAATCAAATAAAAATATGATTTAGTTTAATGCTATATTCCCGTTCCGAAATCA